CCCCCGCACAGCCAGGGCCTCCCCAGGAGCCAGGCAAACACCAGCCCCCCGCACCCCATGGCAGCCCCTGAACCGGCCCAGCTGGGGACAGGGCCCAGGGGTGACCTGTGAGCGTGGAGAGACGTCGGCCCTGGCGCGAGCGTCGGCTCAGTACTGGCACCGCGGGCAGCAGGCTCCGGTCCCGGCCTCCGTCTTCAGCAACGGCCCCGGCTGGGAGGGTCCCCGGGGGCTCACTCGCCTGGGGGTGGGGAGAAGAGTTGGAGACTGGAGCTGAGCTGCCCCCAGTTGCCCCCTGCCCCCTCCCAGGCCGGCAGGCAGCAGAGCAGGGCACCAAGCTAGGGGGGGGATTGGGGCCCAGGGAAAGGTGTGTGGCGCCTTTGGGGAGCAGTTCCCCCCCCCCCAATCCCCCACTCACTCTCCCTGGCCAGTCAGCCGGGGGCTGGGACGCAGGAGCACCGGGGACGGCCCCTCCCCCAGCCAGCCTGGGGCTGCCCCACCACAGTTGCCCCGGCCCCGGGGAGCTGCCCCCGGAACGTGCCTGGGCCCCAGGGAAGGGGCCGCTCACCCTGACCAATATCTGAGGGGCTCCCGCACCCCCCCTGTACTCACGCTGGCGGCTGGCAGCACCGGGGGGCGCGTGCGCTTTGCTGCGACCACGGGGCCGATCAGGGGGGCCAGAGACGAGCGCTGGGGACGAAACAGACGGGCCAGTGAAAGCAGCCCAGGCCGGGCACCCGCAGCGCGGCTCGATCCACCCCCCGCCCCCAAAACACTGCACAAGGAACTGTCAGCAGAGCCCAGGGCCGGGCTGGCAGGGGCTGCGGGTCGGGAGTGTGGGGCACCGGCAGAGCCCAGGGCCGGGCTGGCAGGGGGCTGCGGGTCGGGAGTGTGGGGCACCGGCAGAGCCCAGGGCCGGGCTGGCAGGGGGCTGCGGGTCGGGAGTGTGGGGCATCAGGGTTATTACAGGGCTCAGCTGAGGTCACTTCTGAACTGCGACGTCGCTCTCCCAAGTGGTTCCTAGGAGCCCAGGCCGCTTCTCCCCCCGTCCCCTGGGACCTGAGCCCGGACTCACGCCTAGAGCAGGAGCCGGCTACCTGCCCATGCAGCTCTGCCGGTGCCCCTCACTCCTGACCCGCAGCCCCCTGCTAGCCCGGCCCTGCCCCCCGACTCCACCAGTGCCCCTCACTCCTAACCTGCAGCCCCCTGCTAGCCTGGCCCTGCCCCCTGACTCCACCAGTGCCCCCTCACTCTTGACCCGCAGCCCCCTGCTAGCCCGGCCCTGCCCCCCGACTCCACCAGTGCCCCTCACTCCTGACCTGCAGCCCCCTGCTAGCCCGGCCCTGGGCTGCCCACTCCCCTGCCCCAGCTCTGCTGACACCCATCAGCTCTCCCAAGCGTCACCCTCCACCTGCTCCTGTGGGGCTGGGGCAAAGGGGGGGGGGGGGTTTCCTGTAACATTTTTTATGGCCTCTGAGTGACCAGCATAGCCAACATTTTAACCTTCATTCCCCCGGGGCTCCCTGGGCTGGTCCAGGTGACTAATAACCCACCTGTCGGCCTGCACTGGCTGTGTGCCCCTGCAGATGCTGGTGGAGGGGGCGCTGCCCCCCAAGTGGTACAAGTCTCCGTCAGGGTCTGTCTCAGGGGGACTCGCTGCCCGGCGCTCACGGGGGGGGGCAGCAGGGGGGCTGCAGGCCCAGGGTCCAGCCCCAGGAGGCGATGAAGCTGTGGTCCCACTCCTGGGAGTCCATGACCGGCTCACGCTGGGAGAATTTTGCTCCCATTGGTTAAGAACGTGCCTGAAGCCAGGAGCCACTTGCCCCCTCCCCCGCCCCAGGGCCCTGAGCACCCCCCAGCCTGGGGCAGCTCCAGGCGTTTTGCACCTACCGGGCGCTCATGGGACTTGCGCTTCAGGGGTTTCACCACTGTCACGTCCAGGTCCTGAAAGGAGGCGAGAATGAGGTGGTGCCCGGGCGGGGGTGGGGTGGGCACCCCAGGAGGGCGCAGGGTCGGGGGGCTCAGAGCCCCGGGTCTATGGGCCATAACCCAGCACGGAGCCACGCTGGCAGCTCCATGCCCAGGCCGTCCCCTGCACCAGCTCCCCAGGGACCTGCTGGGGGATCCAGTCCGGGGGGGGGGGGGGCAGACACCCCACTGGGCCCGTTACAATGGCCTGTGCCCCAGCCCCCCTCCCCCAGGCTATTAACGAGCCAGGACAGGCAGAGTCAGGCCCCCGGGGCTGGTCTACCCGGAGTGGGGCCCTCACCACATCGTCCTCGGTGCGGTCGTAGCTGATGTCGGAATGGGACGTGAGCGAGGTGCGTGACTCGTCCACCGCGGACAGCCTGCAACAGAGACGGTCAGCGCGGGCCGGCAGCGGGGGGCGCAGGCTCCTGCCAGGACAGCCCCCCCCCCCCCCCCAGCAGTGCAGCATGCCTGGCTCAGCTGCCCCAAGTCACTGCACCGTAGCTAAGTCAACGAGCAGCCCAAGCCCCTACGGGAGCAGAAATCAAACCCACCACTCAGCAGGGGGCTGCGGGTCGGGAGTGAGGGGCACCGGCAGAGCTGGGATGGGGGTGGGGCTGGGATAGGAAGGGGGTGGGGTTCAGGAGGGAGTGAGGGGCATGGAGGAGCTGGGGGGTCAGGGCAGGTTAGGAGGGGGCTGCGGGTCGGGAGTGTGGGGCACCGGCAGGGTTTGGATTCGGTCCCAGGTGATTCCCAGATTCCAAGTGCCGCTGCGATCACCAGCCAGACTCATGCCCGGCCCAGGCCAGAAAACGGCGCACGGCGCCCCCAGAGCAGACAGGAAATGGCCCGTCCAGGGCCCCACGTGGCCAGTAACGGAGAATCCGCCGCGGCCCCAGGACGCCACTTGCCCATTAGCCGTTCTCACCCCATTTCCCACCAGGACCTCTCGAGCCTCAGCGTCTTGCCAGGGGGCACCAGCTGGTGCCTCCCTCCCACCCACCCACCCCCTCACCTGCTCCCTGGCGCGCGCCCCCCCTCACCTGCTCCCTGGCGCGCGCCCCCCCCTCACCTGCTCCCTGGCGCGCGCCCCCCCCTCACCTGCTCCCTGGCGCCAGGGCCGTGCCCAGCCGGGGCCCGTCGAGCAGGGCCAGGGCCGAGCGCTGCCCCTCGCTCAGGGCCACGCTGGGGGATTCCTGCATCAGGAAGTCAAAGATCAGCTGCAGCTTCCGTTCCTGGGGGGCAGAAGCAGAATGTTTGGGGGGGGGGAAGAAGCAGCCCCCGAGCCCCAGCCGGCCTCAGCTCCCCCCCCCACACACACACCCTCAGGCCAGGGCCCTCCTGCAGACCCCAGCCCTAGGGGAGCAAAGCTCGGAACCCCCCTCCCCCGCCCCACAGAACCAGAGCCCGAGCCCCCCACGCACCTGTTTCTCCAGCTCGGCCTCAGCCCGGTGCCGCTTCCCCATCTCCACCTCCACCTGGTTGCGGGCGTGTTTGAGCTTCACCCGCAGCGCCGAGCACTCGCCCTCCGCCGCCAACAGCTGCTCGCGGGCCCGGCGCAGGTCCAGCCCCAGGCGGCAACATCTCTGCCGGCAGGCCTCGAACCCGCGGGCGACGCGGCTGCAGTCTGGGGGGGACAGGGGCTGTCAGCGAGCGGGGGGGGGGGCACAGGGGCTCTCAGGGAGCTCAAAGGGGAGTGGTGTGTGTGGGGGGAGGAGACTGGGGCTTCAGCGAGGGCGGTCGGTGTCCTGGGGAGGGGGGGACAGGGGCTCTCAGCGAGCTCGGGGGGGGGCGGTGTCTCGGGGGGGGACAGGGGCTTTCAGTGAGCTCGGTGGGGGGGGGCAGTGTCCGGGGGGGGGACAGGGGCTTTCAGCGGGCTTGGGGGGGGCGGTGTCGGGGGGGGGGGACAGGGGTTCTCAGCGAGCTCGGGGGGGTCGGTGTCCGGGGGGGGGGCAGGGGTTCTCAGCGAGCTCGAGTGGGCCGGTGTCGGGGAGCACAGTCCCCTGGAGACCCTTGGTCCCCCCAGCCCATCACCGTGGCGCCCGGCTCCCCCCGGGGCCCGAACCCACCTTCCTCCACGTGGCAGCTCAGCTCCAGGAGCCGGCCGAGCCGGGCCAGCTGGGCCAGGAGGGGCCCGCCGCGCTCCCGCGCCATGGGGCGGACCGGACCTGCGGGGGGGGGGGGGGTCCCCGGGTGCTGCAGAAAACGCACCTGCCGGACCCGTGCCAGCGGCGGGTGGCCAATAGAGGGGCTCCGCCCCCCGTCTGTATTTAGGGAGGGGGCCGGGGCGGAGCTTCAGAGACAGCCCCGCCCCCATCCATTGTCCGGCTCCTCCGGGGGGGCTTGGGGCCCCGCCCGTAACGCGGGCCAGGCTCCCTGGGAGCCGGGTCTGGAGCCCCGGGATCCGCCCCCCGAGTCCGCCCCCAGCGCTGGGGCGCAGCCAAACGGGGGGTCAGGGGCCGGTTCAGCGCCTGTGGCCCCCACCCCACCGGAAGGGGCTGGGACTGAGCTCCCATTGTACAGACGGGGAAACTGAGGCACGAGCCGGGCTCGGCCTGTGATTTGGGGGGTGGGGGAGGCCCAGAAATCAGAACCACTGGGGGCCCCAAGGCCTCCCAGCCTCAGAACCCAGGCGTCCTGCTGCCCTGTCCTAGCCCTGTACCCCCACGTCTCACGGCTGGGAGCCCCCTCGATCCAGATCCCGTGCACAGGGTCTGTGTCCCCTTCCTTCCCTCAGCCATCAGGGCTCCATGGGAAACCAGCCCCCCGCAGCGCCCGGTCCCCCGCAGAGCCCAGCCTCCCGCAGCGCCCGGTCCGCCCCGCAGCGCCCGGTCCCCCCCAGCCCCCTGCAGCGCCCGGTCCCCCGCAGAGCCCAGCCCCCCGCAGCGCCCGGTCCGCCCCCGCAGCACCCACCCCCTGCAGTGCTACGTCCCCC